GAAGTGAGATAAAGTTTAACGTAAAGTGTGTTTCTTGATAGGTACAGACAGATAGAGAGAGAGAAGATCGAATCGTTCGTGAGCCCGAAATCAGTACCGTTTCTATTGTCTTAGATTAGGATTGGGGGTATTATAGGTAGGTATGTACGGAAGGTATGTATGTGAATTTTTGGGTGGTGCGGTTGGTTGATTGCAGCAGAGGCAGATGCTAATTTATTCGGATCATTTATTTTTCCTCCCCGAGCGGATACTTTGAAGCGGATATTTGGCGCTAGAATGGTGGTCGAGGGTTTGGATGTTTTGATAGGTATATTGATATATTGATATATGCGTTTATGGGTTTATGTACGATCTTATGATCTTATCATTGAGTTTTTCTTCATTTAAATATTTATATTGAAAATAAAAGTTTGTGATATAAGATCTGGGAAAAGACCGAAAAAGAGATTGTCACTGGATGAAGAATAGGAGAGCGAGTATATGAAAAGGAGAAAGGAGAAATGGAATAAGATGATGAATATAATAATAAGAATAATAATAATCTATCCACCTGCATTCATTCATACGTACTCGAGTATAAATAAGCAGAGATGGAAATAGGGTAGTCGACGCCACACCTCCATCCATCAACGCCAACCAAGTAAGAAAGTACTAGAAAAAAGATAACACATGTATGTACATGTACAGTCAGTACCTACCTACTCTCCAAATCTCTGTGCGGGCAAATAAATTAAAGGCATCTTTTCATTTCATGACTCTGACTCCTGCCTACTCCATTTACTTTTTTTTTCTCCGATCAACTAAATAAGTGTACCAAGTTTCCGAATATATATCTGCGACTCTCTTTCCAATCAATACAACTTCACTCGATTCATAACCATTCACACTCCAATTTAAGATCCGGTTAACCACCCAGTAACGTATCCAAAATGCAGTTGAAATGCAATTGAAATGCACTTTCAAATGCACTTTCAATGCAGCTTCAATGCATCTTTTCAGGTACGGAAGACCCGGGCGTCTGTCTGTATACGGACCCTGAAAAATCCCTGTGGAAATTTTTTGGTCTGCGTAGATTGCACAGCCCTAACGATGGATCAAATCATGGCGAGGAACCTGGACGCCACGTTGTGTCGATGCTATTCTTCACGTTTTTCGCGAGTAATGAGTAAAATGCTGTAACGCCACGGAAGTCAATTAGAAGGGGGGTTTTGGGGGAGTGCATGGGATTTGAAGAGAATTGCATTAGGCGGATTTGGATAGGAATGAAGGAGGATGTTTGAGGTGAATGGGATTAGTAAGACTACACTACTAGGTAAGTTAGGTATGTTTTTCATCGTCTGATAAAATCTGGACTTCGGAATTCGGAATCCGGAATCTATGGGTTAAGGTTAAATCTAAGATTTGATAACAGCTAGATGTTATTCTATTCTAAGCCAGCTCCATAGCTGCATCTTCCTTTCTCAAATAGTACAGTTGTAGGTATCATTAGGCAGATTATCTTCCTTAATCGTACAATCGATCATCCATCCGTTCCATCATCAAATCCATATAATTCTCCCTCCTTACTCTAATCATTCCAACCTGCATACACCACACCCACCAATCTGATAATACCCTCGTTAATTTCGTCATACATATGCACGTCGCCCCCCAATTGAACAAGAATCCCCCTCCAAAAAAGCAAAGAGAAAAGAAAATGATATTACCTTCTTTCAGCTCGACATACTCCGTACATACATACATACAACCTAGGTAAGCTCACCCATCCCCAAGTCGTGTAAGGAGTGGTGCCTTGAATATCGGCCCTTGAAAATAGCGTAACTATAGATTACCACTTATCAGTGGTGAAAAATCCTTGACAAACCACCCTTCTCGGAGATATTAAATATTAACATGCAGTAAGTATATGTCGTGTCACATCTTGCATCTTTACGGAGTTACGGTACGATCAAGCTGGAAGATCTGGAGTTGCCTGTCCAATTGAAGTTGCAGTTTCATTTCTTCCAGGGTTTTAGTACTTGAGTACCTATTTTGGTTTGGGATTGGGATTTTTGAGCTGGGCAGGGATGTTTTTTTTTTTCATTGTAGTTGATGTAGGAGATTGCATTTGTATCTTATCGAATGGAGTGTTTTATAGTAATAGTTGTACTGCGTAAGTCTCCTTAGCATCTAGATAACCTTCTCATTTACAAGTATCCCATACTACGGAGGACGCCTCGAAAACTGATGAGTCTATAGGGCCTTACAGGATATTAGCATTATAATACACTGTGATTTGACCTTTCGGATCGAGCCCTGGAAATTAATAGCTAATTAGGCTCTAAAAAAACTATTCTGCAGTCCGTTGTTACGTCGGACAGTAACATAGGTCACGTTCTTGATCACATGATCAAGAAACCGACAAATCGAGATCGGCTTTGCGGTGATCGATTTGTCGGGCTCATAGCCATCGGTTTTTTTTAAGGAGGCACGAAGGTCTATATAATCAAGATGGATTTCCTTTGTATAGAGCTTCGTGCTCAAGATCAATCATTTAGTATACTCTACTATTAGTTACGAATTGCATATCATTATTGTCATTACTTAACTCCCTGCTTGACGCCTAGTTATAAATCACCTCGAGAGCCTAGAGCACTTCCACGTGATCTAGACGGCTAACCTCGTAACAATATACTCTTTCTTTCCTTATCATACAACTTAACCTTATAGATTTCCTGAAATCTCTTCAGGAAACTACAGATTTTCCTTTCCTGTTGATCTTGCACTATATACATAACTCCCTACAACGAATTAGATCAATCAATATAAATTTACCACTACCACCACCAAATACACAAAGCACAGCATCAAGTAGATATATTTATAATCCACACACACAACCTCCAAACCCTACACAAAACCCCAAACTAATAAGGATCCCACTCCAACCTCCTTTCCAACAGGAAAGATTCCACAGGAAGTCCTCTCCATTTCTTCTCCCCGGAAGCCGCCACATCAAAAAACTCCACTTCAAACCCCATAGCCTCTTTCCAGCCGTGAATCAATCTCCGCCAATAACACGTCTCCGCCGCAGGCGTAAGATACCTCTCTCTAAAAACCCTAACACTCCTCTCCGCAATTTCCTCCAATTGATCTTTCCTCTTCAGTAAATCCTCCATCGTCTCCTCTAATCCCTTAAACTCCCTATCCACCTCGATATAATTCTGCTCCGGCCCATCCTTCCTCATCAACGGATGGAAAAATTCCATCCACTCCAATCGATGCGCTATAATCACCGACCGACAATTCCTCAAATACTTCAGTCGCGCAGAATAGGAATTCCCTTCTGTGTGCGCTAGAAATTTATACTGACAATGCTCATCCATACTCTTCAAATCATTCTTCATACTGCCCTCATCGTGCCAATCTAATGATTTCACATCAGCCCACTCTTTTCCTTGCGTCATCTCGATAAATTTCTTCCGAACCTCGAGATTCATCGTCGCGCCGCGCCATAACAATTTATCGATTTTGCGATCCCACGGCCAGGAAGCCTCGGTCATTAGCGCTTTCATTTGCATTTCTCCGTAACTACCGATTTTTGTTTCGGGCCAGGACCAAAATCCGTATTCGGGCATAAGCCAGGTTTCACTCTGGTGTGCTTGGCGCGCGTAGAGCCATTGTGGGTGTCCTTCCATTTTGTCGTCGACGTTCATTGTGAATTCGATATTGGGGAGGGGTTCGGGGGAGGTGAGCATGGCGCGATGGAGCGCCTGTAGGGTTGCTAGACCGCGAGAATAGATTTTTCCAGATGTGTCGATTACGTATAACTTTTCTTGTCATTAGCTTGTTTCCATCTCAAACTCCTCCCTCCATTATCCACAATTCTTCACTACTCTAAGAAGCCCACGAATCACCAACCTGCTGATCAAAAATCATCGCTCTAATAAACCCATTCAACGCCGGCGTATCATCCAATTCCTTCCTCGAAATCTTCTTATTCCTCCTCAACCGAACCGGTCTTTCGACCTCTTCAAACAAGCCCGGAAAAGCCACATCACATTGTTTCTGCGAGAGGAACAAATTGCGATAATCCCTCGTATAATTCCACGTCCCATCAAATCCAAACCTGCCACTGATATACTCCGAATCCAGCTGCATCTCCTCATTAGCAGTGGGAGTATATATCCGCGGGGGGGCGGCCGAAAACTTTTCCACACGCGATGTGTAGAGAAAGAAAAGTAGGGTAAGAAGTAATGCGAGGATGAAAGTATAGGGACGTCGAGCTGTCGCCATGGTTATATCGTTGAATATAGCCATGTTGATACTTTGACAGACATAGAGTGAGAGAGATAGAGAGAGAGAAAGTTCAAAGAGCAGAACCCCTTAAAAAATTTCAATGCGTATCCACGTAAGTAATAAAGAATGTAGGGGGTATCAAGGTACGTCAACGGATAACTTTGCCGCAGACAAACATCTTCCCTCCGAGTGAAGCTAGTGTTGTAAGAATGTGGCGTCTTACAAACATACGATTCACTCAATCACACACACTCGTATCAAATCGCTATGCCTTGTAAGATCTTACAAAAGACATTCATTCATTCATTCATCCATTTCGAATAAAGATCGACCTCTATGATTAGATAGAAAAAAGGTACCCATCCATGTCCTCCGAAATCCCACTACCCAACCGCGATACCGGGAAGTAGATCCTCCCATGATAAGAAAATCTCGTATTATTACTGTATATCCATATCCATATTATATCCATATTAGATTATCCATTCACTAAAACGGGATTCTGGATTCTGGATACAAGATACAGGACACTGAATACGAGATACCTAGATACCTAGAAACAATAAGCTATTAGAGCAAGAGAGTGGGAATGAAACCCAAATGAAATTCAAATGAAATTCAATGAATAAAGTAAAAGACACGAAAAATATCAAGGTTCATCCATGAAGACTGCATGCAACTGTTTAACTTGGTGAGTTAAGCTTTATTTTATTAGCACCAGGGATCTATTTCTTGTATACTTACCTATCTACTAGGTACCTACCTAGTTATAAATGAGTATAAATAAATAATCAATCGTCTTGAGATGGATAATGTTAGGGATGTAATAAATGTAGTAAATTAGATAGATATTCAGTAAATACCATATAACCGAACCACCCACTATAAAAGATCACAGTATTGATTTTTCTCTAGTATTAATATCAGGAATTAGAGATGGTATAATATGGTTTATCAACAGTTCGTTTATATCATTAGTCCGCTCACTTTTTGACTATTTCCAACTCTTCCACTTCAATACACGTTTTATCAATAATTACTTATGGAAACTCATTCTAAAGAAGTACGAATTATCTTAGCTATTGAAGTTATTAAACTTAATCCACAATTCTCAATTCGGAAAGTGGCAAATCTTTATAATATACCTCGATTTACTTTGAGGGATAGAATTAAAAGTTGTACTAATATAGTTGATTATCGATCAAAAGATCATAATTTGACCAAATTAGAAGAGGAAGTGCTTATCCAGTATATAATCGAAATAAATGAGAGAGGGTTTGTATTTAAATTAAGTGGTGTAGAAGATATGGTGAGTTATATCCTCGAATCGCGGGGTGCGAAGAAGGCTGGAAAGCTCTGGGCTCATCGCTTTGTTAAACAATGTTCAGAATTAAAGATATGTTTTAATTGTGTTTATGATTTTCAAAGAGCTCTTTATGAAGATCCCAAGCTTATTGAAGAGTGGTTTGGATTAGTATCGAATATACAGACGAAATATGATATTATCGATTCCGATTTCTATAACTTCGATGAAACCAGCTTTATGATAGATATAATATATCTTGAAATGGTTGTAATTAGTATTGAATGATGTGATAGAAGCAAGGCAATGCAATCAGACAATCGAGAATGGACTACAGTGATTATATATGATAATAGAGAGAGTTGGACTATATCTTTATTCTTGGTAGTGTAAGGGCAATATTACCTTTCTAATTGATATACCAAAAATAGTTTTCCTACAGATTGAGCTCTTAAACCTACCTTTAATAGATAGATGAATAATGAAACAGGTTTAAAATGATTAAAGTATTTCGATAAATATACTATTTGTTAAAGGAAGAGCAAATATCAAATACTAGTATTGAATAGATACAAAAGTTATGAATCAATATCTTTTCAATTATATTGCAAGTCAAATGATATTATATATCTCAGATTATTATCATATTTAAATCATTTAACTCAACTATTCGATGTTGAGTGTTTTGACGTATTTAAACATTTATATAGTTATCAAATTGAAGGATTTATCAAAGTTTATATCAATTATATCATCAAGGTTGAATTCTTTATAGTCTTCAAAATTGTATATTTACAATCATTTATTATTCAGAATATGAAAGTTGGTTTTCGAAGAGTAGGTCTAATATCATTCGATCCTCAATCTATATTCTCAAAACTAGATATTAGAATTCGTACTTTTATTCCTTTATTTATCTTTTTGGAACTTATCAATTTCTGGATCTCTCAAATCTCTCACAATCCAATTGAGATTCTCTTACAATCGACTTTAATAAAAGCTCGAATGACTCATCATCAATCAAGCTCTCTTATACCTATATTTGAGATTGTATAAGCTTTAGCTAAGGGTATAGAGAGATTAGTATATGAGAATACATTTTTAAATGCTGAGAATCGTATATTTTGAAGAGCAAATGAGGCATTAAGTAAACGTCGATATGTTAAAAAAATTCAACTACGTAATGGAGGAGTACTTACTGGATAAGAAGCTGAAGATATAATATTACAATAAGAGGTTGATAATCAGATTCAATACAATGAGCGTCAAAATGGGGGAAATCCTAATGGGGAATCATCCACTAGTCGATGCTGTAGTAAGTGCGGAAAGACTGGTCATAATTCAAGAACTTGTCAAAATGATATAATAGATCCTAGATTATTAGATTCTTAATAGTTTGAATCAATTCAATAAGTTATGATTGATTAATTAGAATTTGAAGTGGTTAAATGGTCAAAAAGTGGGCGGACTAGTGATATGGGCGGACTGCTGATTAACCACGTTATATATATATAAATATATATAATAAAAGCACAACACCACATCACAGCCACACGACCGTGTAAGAAACACTGTACATATACATACATATATGATGTCCTCCCGCGTGTATCTATATTAACAAATAAAATTCAAAAGGAGGTATACATACGTAGTATAGGCTTCAAACTTCGGATGCCTTTACCCGATCTTCCAATCGGATATACAACTAATATGCAATGGAGTCAATTAGGAAAGTAAGAGTCCATGTACAATGAGTATCACATGTAATTGAAAGCCTGACATACAAATACTCATGGCGTACCTTAGGATATCGCGATATAACATGACTAGAGGGTTCGAGTTCAAATAGTTTTATACTTTAATCATTTTTACAAATATGCATAGGCTCACCGGCCAGAATTACTTTTATTGTATGTATGGGTGTATACGACGAATGCCGATGTCCTCGCTCATCATGAAAAAAAAAGAAACCCTGTAAGGGAAATTCAAAAGCTCCATTCCCAGATGCAATCATTCCCCAAAACTCCGTAGCTAGATTCGCAACCTATCCACCCTCAAAATCCATGACACCAATAGCAATCCTGTTCCAAACGCGCCTCTAATGCAACAATAGAATCGATGCGCCATGGAAACACTTTTGTTCATCGTATGTATCATGCTCCCCCCAAAATCGATCATATATGTACAAACTATGCGTTAATCTTTCGTATATCGCATGTAAATTTATTTCATGGATTGTTTTCCTTTATTGTTCAGAGATGCCTTAGATTCTAAGCTCCTCGCTTGATCTCGTTCAAGCAAGAGTGAAAGCTGTGACTTGCTTTTACTTAGATTTCCTGGGGACCCTGGCGGTGTGCTCACTGGTTGAGCAATAGGTGATACTACTTGTGGCATTGATTTCTTCGTGAAGAGATCCTTCATAAGAGTCCGAGCTTTGCCTTTGCCTGGTCTCTCTGGAGATGCAGGTACTGTTGTATTTTGACTACCAGTGCCCAAATCGAGATGGCCAGTGGCATCAGTCAATGTTGGCGCCGAGCTGACCATACCCTTGGATTGTTGTTGTAAAAGGTGCTTTCCACTCGTCTTCCTATAACCAGGAGGTTTGCCATTGCTCGAATCCCTAGACGTGATTGATGCCTGAGAATCTGGACTCGGGGGTCCGGGTGGTAATATGCTAGCTGTCTTAGCATTATCGAGAAGCATCCTTTGCACTTTGAACTCTGCCTCACTAACTACCTGCGTCGGAACCTGATTGCTCACCAGTGTTTGAAGGTCATTCGAAGGAACAGGCTGAGCAGGCTGGATTGGCTGAGCTGGCTGAGCTAGCTGAACAGTCTGAGCTGGCTGGGCAGTCTGGACAGTCTGAACAATCTGAGCTGGCTGAGTTGGCTGAGCTGGCGCTACCTCAACAATTTCTTCACGAGTGCTTGCGAGTTTGCGCGAACCACCCCTAGCCGGAGCTGCCAATTTGGACGGATTGCGTTTCGTTGGGGAAGTTGTAGATCGTGTCGGTACAACATTTTCCTGCGTATTCTGATTTCTGGTGGGTGGTACAGATAGCGGAGGTGGCCTTCCCAAATTCCTGTTTTGTTGTCCTTGTCCACCGGCAAGTCTCGCTGAGCTATCATTCGAGGACTGGGAGGTTTGCGAACTCTGTCGCCTGACAACGACCGGTCTCTTCTTCTTGGCAGCCGAAGCAACGAATTTCTTACTTGCAGGGGCAGGCATCAACTTCTTATCGACCTTCTCTTTCTCAATCTTCTCGTCAATGGTACTCGTCTGTTCAAGTGGTGGTGGAGGCGATTGTACTACGACTTGCTTGTTTGCGCTACCAGACTCATCTTCTGACGCCGCCGGGGATATGAAGCGCGCAGTCGGTCGAGGACCATTTCCAGAAGGTCCTCGGGTCTTTTTTAATATTGGGGGTGGCATGGGAGCAGATGTCTTAGCAACTGACGTCGGTGTGGTACGTGGTCGGCTCTCGTTGCGGGCACGAGCAACAGAGGTAGTCGAGGCGGTTTTTCCAATGTAGGCTGCACTATTCTGATAATCAAATCAATATAGCTCCATGGCCTATCAACAGGTTTGCATACCATTGGCGCTTCAGGCTCATAACGATTGGGTGGTCCCCTGAGTGGCACAACAGTGTCACCCTCTGAAATGTGTACGAACAGTCGGGCCACGGTCGAAGCATCCAGCTCTCGACGTCGACTTCCCCATATTCGCCACCAGTAATTCTCCAAGCGCTCAGCCGTGGGATCGAGAAGTCTTCGTTTTGTTGTAGTGTATACTATAAGACCGTCAGCTTCATACTTTAATTTGAATCAAAAGATGTAAAGTACCTTTCCAAAATCTGGCAATGTCGGCAAGATCTAAAGGATCATTTTTGAATCTCTCGATGGTGCTTCCAATTTGCGGCGAATTGACCACAATGCCCTTTGGCAATATCAACGCCATCCTCTTAACGTCGCCAGAACCGAAAGTTGTTGAGTGACTGCAGCTCTTCTAAGGCAGGCGGCTAGCCTACCTAGAAGTTGCTGCGTCACTGTGGATGGGGAAGACGGGCTTTTACAGCTAAGAAAGCTGAAAAACAAAGTAAGGAATTAAGGTTTGTTTTAATATTGAGGTTTGGCTGACTCTGGAAAAAGGGACGGGATTTCGTAACAAGTAATTCGGTAAAAGGACAAGGACCAAGGTTGATGAGGAAGAAGATCCAGGATATTGATGATGATGGGGGGAAAAAGCTAGTTGAAGCTAAGAAAGATAGTATGAGTTTTAGTCTTTGAACTGTTTTTTTTTTAATAGAACTGCTTTTGGAAATATTTCAAAGCTTCTTATTAGATTTCAAGTACAAGAGAAAAGAAGATGAAGGGCTAATTAAGGTTTTGTTATGTGTATCATTTATACGTACCAAAGAGTTGGTTAAATTTGACGAAATTTACTGGTTCGGAATTGATCCGAGGAATGAGAATTTGTTGAATATGTGAATGAATATGTGAATATGAATGTATGAATGAATGTGTGAACGTGATGTGATGTGATGTGAGGGAGTTCACAGTTCACTAGTTTCACACAGCTGAATTCGAATCTGATATTCCCCCTCAGCTGTACGAGAGGAGTGTAGAGTGAATGTAAATTATATGTGAGGAGGTGTATCTTTGGCCATAAACATTGACTTGGCTATGACTTCTATCGATCGTTCGAACGTTCTGCATTTGAGAAATGGCAACTTATTAACTTTCCATCAAGGGAAAGCTTTGAGTTGAAAAGATAAAATTTTCCATTGGGTTTGGATAAGGTACAGACAGTATGAATGAGTATTATGAAATCAAATCAGTAATTAATTTTTTTTTCTTCTCCAGTCGAAAGAATAACGTGCACGGGACTGACACTGCTTTTGCTTCCTGCAGTAGAGTGGTAGATATGGAGCACGCACGTAAAATGCGAAAAAAAGTGTACGGTGGGTATGTTTTGATCTTCGTTTAGAACAGGTACTGTATCTCTATACTCCGTACAGCTGGTAGAGTAGATGGGTAGATGGTAGGTGGGAGGTGGTAGGTGGTAAGTAGTAGGTAGTAGATGCCCAGAATAGGTAAACTTTTCGAAATCCTTAATTTAGATGATTAGCTCAAGGAGTTTGATGAGACTGCGGTTCATTGATCGGCAATTAGACTCGGGAGACCAAAAGAGTCATTATAATAATTAGGAAGGATATTTATTTATTGTTGTAAACCTTGCTGTGATAAGTTTGCTAAGTCAAAAGGGACGCATATGGATATGGATGATATGAGGGATAGACAATACCGATTTGGATGGAATAGATTTGAAAGAGATTCGAGCTTCGTAGATCAAACATAAAGTGGATATGACTGACAAGACCGTGGTTGTTGTTTGAGACCTCTTGAGTTGGCCTTTTACATCATGTACAGACGGTACACTACTGTTGTATAAAGTAAAGAAAGGTTCAAAGTTGGGATACACGTTATCGGAAGAGGAAGAGGATCTCGAGTAAATAATGGTAATGTGACGAACAGGAATTTATGTAACGAGGAGCCTAACCCTCCTCTCTGCTTTGCTCTCTCTCTCTTTCTCTCTCACGCAACGCAGTTCTCTCTCTCTTCTCTTACCGTTCTGCAACACACTCGCCAAACAATCAGTTATTGTTTTGGACGGTTATATTATGTTTAATCAAATTTACGGAGAAAAACGGTGGGAACCTTAAAGGGAGTAGCCGGTGCTGATGCTTAATACAGAACTTAAGCCCAAGCCAGGGTTCCTTGATCCTTATTAATTCTACTCGGCCATCAGCTTAGCTTCTCGATGAACAGATTTGAGATATCATCGATATCGTGATTCGTTGATCTAATGCGGCCGAGATAGAGAGATATTGGAAAAGAAGATATAGAATAAGGCAAGGGAGGAGATGTGCTCCGTAAATAAAAAAAAACCGTTGCCTCTTTTCCAGGATGCTTACACATCCTTGAATTACCGGTACCACTCATGTATGTTCTTTTTCTTTGCCAAGAATCTTCAATTGTCATAAGAACGAACTATTTAACTATTTCGTTTATATATGATATAATCCAGTATATTATATATATTCTTACTACCAAGGATAAAAACTACAGTCAGTATAGCTGAAAATGGGACACAATTAGAATCCATTCTAATATCTCATAACTTTGTTTCATTTGTATCCATGGCCACAACAACATCGATTGAAAGGTTCTTCCACCTTATTTTGGTGACGAATCTGAAAGTCTTTTTATGGGCCCGAAGATCTCTATGAGTCTATCCAAATCCTAGTATCACAAGCAACACAAAGTCATGCCGTGTTGAGTGGCAGTTGCAACGACTCGTGACTCATGAATTGCTAAAAGAGCATCTAGCCAACCTACGAACAATATGTCCTTACACGGCCGAAAAGTCTGGAGATGTTATACATAATCTTATAATACCACCTGTCCATCGGAAGATCGATGCAGGTGAAAGTTAAGAGGATGAGATCAGATGAGATAAGATGGGCACACGAATATCTTCATCTTTTTGTCCCAATATAGAACGTTTGCATCTTTGGTTCGTGTAGGAGGCACGGCTCAATGCCTGCTTCTACATATGTTCAATACCACTTTGCAATTGTTATATCGAATAAATCGATAATCACATCGCATATTGCTTCTGGAACCGGCAAAATACCAAATTACTACCTTGCTCCATGTACATTCAGGGGTTTTACGACATGCATAGATGCACGAGGCAAAGGAAAATGGATGGAGTACAAGGCGAGGCCGGTTTCTAGCCTTGAAACCGCCCCGAGCAGCGACAATCTACCGACACGACTCTTAGTTCTCTCGTTGTCAGTCTCGCATTGGCATTATACTCATGGTACATTGTCTTATAAGTCTTACAGCTGGCAGACTTTGTACCGTACCTTACTCAATCTTACTCGACTATCCGGACTCACCGCCATCGAGGGATTCTGGTATTTGCATTACCGTGGGAAAGCGCATCTAATCACTGATCACGAAAGAGTCATTGCTTGGGTTTTTAGAACCAGCACGCAAGCTCGAGGCAAGTAAAAGGGAAAAGCAAAAGCAAAAGAGGCAAAAGGAACGAATCAGACAAGGCTAATCCTTTCCATCCAAGGAAATAATCCCAACAAACACGCATTCTCCATGCGACAACAAATCTCAGCTCTCATCAGCACAACAGAAAAAAGTTACCTACCTTCCTAATCGATCCTTTTCAATGTAGCTTCCGTCACGCTTTTATACATTGCGACTTCAGAAATGTCGCGGAAGTCTTTCCGATATCCAAGTACGGAACCGTTTATGAACATCTGACCTCTTTTTTATCTCTCCGTCTCGATTTAAGGAAACGTCGTGTGACGCTCATTGTTACTGGTCTGGAGATGGATGATATTTGTATGATGTTTTGTACTTCCCCAATATATCTAACAATCTAGAGTAACTAACCATCACGAGACCCTAAAAAACAAACAACTTCTTGTGATCTTGTACGACCTTTTCCATTGACCCTAGAAAGGGCGGAAAGAAACGGAGAGGATCGAGATATCTGAACCAAGATATATCCTTATAAAACTTTTTATATTGCATCTTAATATTCCAACCAAAGTTACCAAACCCCCGGATTTTGAACCCCACTCTATATGACTCCACATGACTTACATTTACAAACGAACAACGATGAAAAATAATTAACTAGTGTCGTACTAAAAGAGGATAATCCATACGTCAAACCTTAGGGAATTACTCGAGCTTCAAGCCTCATTCATCACTTTTGACTCTTGATATTCCTAGGCGAACAATAGGATTCTCTCACATCCAACCACTCATCTTTCATGTCTCAAATCTTTTTCGAGGCTCTCAATAAATATCTCGAATCCACAAAAGTATCTTCCAATCAACCAAATCAAATCAAATCACTCTCTAATGTCTCAGAAGAACAAGAAGAAGAAAGAACCCAACGAGTCCAAATCCTCTGAGATCACATCATACCACTAAAAATCCTAACAAAAACAAACCAAACCAAAGCAAAAGCAAAAACAAACCCAAACTCAGGGGAAAAAACATCCAGAGCTATGCCGCCGAGCCGCCCCTTGCACATTTTATTCCCTTCCATACCTTACCACGCAGGCCTTTCCCTCTTCCATACTCCACCAATGTCTCACTAATCAGTAACTCGGACCAAGAAAACCTCTAAGAGAAAATCCTTCCATCCTTCTATCCTTCTAGCTTCCTTCCTATTTCAATGCTTCTAGAAACAAAACGTGTTTTTTGAACTTTTTTCTTCTCCGTCTCCGGTTTTTATTTTGGGTCGAGCTAGTGTGTAGCAAGAGCAAGCTTTATTCACAGGCCCTGCTTTGGGCATCAATACCTCCCTAGGTACCTATTTAGCTATTTGGCTACCTGGCTAGCTACCTGGCTAGTAAGTGGTTTTCGCATGAATTTGAGCTAAGCCTATTTATATGAGCCTTGATTATTCATGATAGGATAGGGAGCTAGGGATTGGAGCTACCTCGTCATCTTTGATTTTCTTATTGTAAATTGTGAAATATATAAAATCAATTTTATTTATATATATAGATTTATAAAAATAATAAAAGTATAATAAGTTTTTTTTATTAAATATTAAATAAATAAGTAGAGTATTAATAAAATAATTTATTAATAAAGTATAATAAATTGTTACGTTGTAACATTATAACTATTATCACGTGTTGTAGGATCACATGAATAGTCTTGTGAGGGAGCGAGGGAGCGAAGGAGCGAGATTCGAATCTCGCTCCCCAGCTTCATCGCTCCAATGTTGGAATACGAAGGTCTATATAATCAAGATGGATTCCCTTTGTATAGAGCTTCGTGCTCAAGATCAAGATCAATCATTTAGTATACTCTACTATTAGTTACGAATTGCATTATTGTCATTACTTTAAGTCCCTGCTTGACGCCTAGTTATAAACCACCTCGAGAGCCTAGAGCACTTCCACGTGATCTAGACGGCAAACCTCGTAACAAGCCGCTGCCTTTAGTACAGTATCGTTACACTAAATCCAAATCCAAACCTAAATTCAAATCCAGCAATATCAATATCTTCTATATTTCTAATCTATAATCCCTCAAATCAGATAGATCAAAGAATCAATAATCAATAATCACTTCTGTTTAATCACCCGTTCTATTTTATATAATCTTCTATTTTATTTCTGGCAATGAGTGGTGGGGATGAATCTGTCTATCTATCTACCTTTTATCTATCTATTTTATCTCTTTGAATACTGTATCTAATATCTTTACCTTCAATACATCACATCCCATCCCATCCCATCACATCCCATCCTATCTATCACATCCCATCCCATCCATCTCACCCCATCCCATCCATCTCACCCCATCCCATCACATTCCCCTCCATCCCATCCCAAAAACCTCAGCAAAACCACCACAAAAGAATCTCAATCCATGAGATTCCCATCACAAATCACGAATTACGAATACATTCTTCATTGGGAATATATAATTTGCTGTTATGTTAACCAGTGTTATATTATGGTATGTGTATAATCTTATAGGATGGAATGGCATCGAACAGGATATAATGTTACAGTCTGGATCGTATACATTGTGATTTATTCACGGGTATAAAAGTAAGGAACGGAAGAGGTAGAGAGTTAGTTACACGTGATGTCATAATGAACCACAGACATTCTAAGGGTTACCCAAGTAACACACATGACAAAGGCGCAGTAACCTGAGTCACGTTGAATGAAAATTCTCATGTCTGCTGTTGTAAGAAATTTCATAAATCTTTCATGCTACATTAAGCCGAGTTGGAAACGAAGGGGCCATAAGCCAATCCCAACTCGGGTTCGAAGTCTATGCTTTTGTGAACATAAGAAAGTGCGCTATAAACATATTTGATGACCCGCTGAAGAATGAGGATCCATTAAGTGAGGGTGTAACCTCCATCTACTCGTAAGTCGGCTGCACGTCTTGTCAGCAAATTGGCTCAAACAGATGTGCAGAGAAGAATGTTCTTACCTCCAGTAACGTAATTAGATGCATCTGACGAGAGGAAAGTAACGGCTCCCATAAGATCTTCTGGCTGACCCATCTTACCTTGAGGAATGAGGGAAGTCCATTGTTTCTTCAAGTCTGGGTTTTCATCCAAAATCTTCTTAGTTCTATTGAATTCTGTAATTAGCATTGGCTTGTTTGAAAAACTTGCACCCCCACGGGGTCTTTCTGGGGTTCAATCTTACAATGCGGTCAGCATGTATCCGGGGGAGATGCAGTTGACTCGGATGCCAGCGTGAGCCCATTCTACAGCCAAGGATGAGGCAAGATGTCGGACAGCAGCCTTGGCCGCGTTATACGGCGCTTGGGGTTGTGGAACATTGACAATGGCACCGGACATACTGCCAATAAACACCATACTTCCCGGAGCCTTACGCTCCATCAAGTGTTTTGCAACCGCAATTGCAAACAGGTATGTTCCATCCACGTTGACACCCCACAGTTTTCGTACTCGGTCAATTGGATAATTGATGGCCTCAAAGTTCTCTGTAAACCCAGCTGATGTCACTAAATTATCAATTTTTCCGTGCTGAGAGATAATTTCGGCAATGGCAGCATCGACGGATTCTTGGGAGGATACATCTGCATAATGAGCGGTAACCTTAGGAACACTAAAACCATGTGTGAGCGTTCGTGATACCATGTTAGAATAAGAATCAGGTTCTTACTTTTCTGCTCCTGGGTTTTCTCTCTTGAATGAAGCAACAAGCTCTCCTGCCTGCTTTTCGGCTTCCTCCTCTGTTGTCCCTTTAGTATAATGCTGCCATTAATTTTGTAGATGGCACATACTGTTCATGTCGACAATCGCAATATCAGCACCGCTAATAACCATGGCTTGACTCATGACAAGTCCCAGACCTCTGGCACCTCCAGTGACGACTCCAACTCTACCTTCTAGAGAGAAGGATGCAAGTGTACGCTTGAAATGAAGCCCACCTCTGCCTTGTACCGGTTTACTGGATGGCAATTCATGCTCTTCTGGATACTCGACATGCACTGAGGAATCGGTTCGTGCAAAAGAACCTTCGTGTAGTGGATCGTCAATCTTCTCACGAAGGGAAGCTGTGTTGTGGATCGGTCTCGAAGATAAAGCTGGTAATGTGCGAGGCAAAGTTGCCTTTGTTGAAGCTCTGGCAGCACGAGCTGCATTCCGAAGAAGTTGTGTTCGAAACATTATCGATATGATTTTGGAGCTGTTATTAGAAGGCAAGTATACAGCAAGATAGTACGTAAAGGACAGCAACCAAGCTATATGGTCTTCAGGCGTCCGTTCTGACTGACAGATTGGGAGGAACTATAGAAAGAGTGCTCTAAATAGTCCACGATGTACAAAATAGATTTAGTGGAAGTTCAATTGAAAGATAAAAATTTGTGTGACAGTGAATGCTCTTGCGAAGAGAAAAGTATTCCAAGAAATTGATACTTAGTTTGAAGAAGTATTGTCCTTGGTACTTGAATGAGGAGTGAAAACAGAAATGATAGCTACCTACCCATTTCATGTACCAAGGGTTATTGACATCATCTCTGACAGTACAGCTTCCACTCTCGCCACCAAGAATGGATACAGTTGGGATTTTCAGTGGGGTTTTTCCTGTTGCTTGGACGAGTCAGTCTCGCTGCTATCGACTTCTGCTACACCGAATGTACGGAAATATAAAAGCTGAAGGTTCAAAGCAAGAAAAAGATATGGAGAAAAAGAGTGGCAAAAATAGTAAAGCAGAAAAACCATTTAAAGTGTGATTGTTGAGGTAGAGAAAGAAGTATTGCAAGTCAAATACTCAACAAGTCCAGAATCAATCACGTAGAGGACACAGACCGCCGACAAGTATTCCGTTCTGTACTCTGCACATTACGCAGTGAGTACACATTACCTGTCCTGTACAGCAGCACAAGACCAACAAGGAAGAAACATGCAGTGAGATTCCAAGCTCTACTCTCTATGCTGAAATGGATCGGCGACCCGGAACTTATTTGCCTCCCATGCTCGCTTGATGTGTTGATAACAATTTCTTATCGACAATCACGTGCTATCAGCCACAGTCTGTGCCCTGCATGTGCAAGCCTCACTTATTAATAAAACATGTGCCAAATCAAAGCCAGAAATCCGGTTTGATTGGGTTACATTTAATAGAGGCTGTGTACCATTAGTGGGTCCCCGACCCTTTGAGACTCTCAAGCTTGATATGAAACCATAACTCACTCTCCGTCTTTCCACCACCCAACACAACCAACCTACACTGATTCACTCACATTTATTTTCGCAAAATTCCACATATTTCCATAACAACAATATCCCAAAAGACCTCATAATTAAGTAGTAGGTCTACTGGTTCTCGAGAATATATATTTCCTTCCACAATATTCAACCCAAGGAATAACCCCACGATATACCCAGTCTACCGATCCACCTCACTATGCGCTTCATCACACTCGGAGCGGGGGTAACTCTTGCAACCATCAGCCAAGCATTTCTACTTCCTCCAACCATCTCGAAATCTGATAGCGATGTCGTAAATGCCTTACCTTTCGATGCTGCCATCGACGCGGAGGGTAGGATGTTGGCTGTCGATTGCCCTGGCTGTCCAGTTTCTGCCCAGGATGTACGAGGAGGTCGACACGATCTGAAGGGAGTAAATAGACTCCTGTTCAACTTCTCAGTCTCACACGATAATGGCCTTGATCGTGTTCTCCTGAACGGACACCAATTCTATCCCATCGATATGGAATCCAGTCTCGAACGTCTCACAGCCCCACAACTGATCAAATCATCGGAAGGCAATTGGGTCCAAGCTGCCGAGCCCGACCTAGGTTATGCTCTACGCATCCACAAGCCAATATCATACTTCAAGCAAGATGAAATTGATCTGTTGATCGCAACTCTTGAAATCATCGAAGTTGGTAATACATTCGTGGATACCGTGGATAATATCGAACTCAAGATTCTTACAACACCAAGTGGAAAATTGATGATTGGCGATGCCCAAGTTACACCATCGCCACCAAAGAGCCATCTAACTAATCCGACAGTTGATGGACAAGAATGTACAACGGTGCTTTGCAAATGGAGAGCTATTATGGCAGACAAACTGTCGGCTCTTAAGAAAGGCTGTGATGGCAAAGCTCACCCAACTTCTCACAACAACCGACCTCAAGGTCATGGTCATCAACGTCCTCATGGTCATCATGGCGGTCATGGCGGTCATGGTAGACCTCATCGATTTTCTCACAAACACCATGGTATCACCGGATTCTTACGAGGTGTTGTCTTACACGTGGTTATTCCAGTCATCATTGGAGTCGTTGCTGGAATCACTGCCAGTCTTGTCGGTATGATAGCTGGTCACATTGCTATCTTTATGTGGCGTCTATTGTTCCGTAGAGGATTTCAAAGCCAATACACCAAGGTCCAACAAGAAGAATTCGTTGTCGAGGAAGGTATCGAGGAAGACAAGAGTCTCATTCAACATCAAGGCCCCCCTCCAGTTTACGAAGATATCGTGAAGGAGGATAAAGCATAAGTAACAAATTGAAAGGAGTCAGGTTTTGAAATGGATTTGTGGCCTTGGATCTTATCAAAGACCTCGTCACAATAATAATTATAGGACGCTGAATTGGTAAAGGGGTTTTAAGGAGTTTACATGGCGAGATTAAAGAGAATGGGGAAACGATAAGGATTCTAAGGAGGTTTAACCGGTCGGATAATTAGTAGCAAGTATCTCCTTTTCGCATCATGCCAGCAGTTTGAATATGTTAAGCGATTGTCTAACACCTTTGAATATTTCAACATCTTCCATATTATAACACAATAAATCTTCCAAACGTTTCTTCTCAGTTAAGTCACAGCTCATAGTCCTTGCTACATCAACAAAGTAAAATTTAGTTATTATTTCCATCCTCAAACTCGCTAATAGTCATCACCGCAGAGGTAAGGTGTACTTACATACTGTGCATACCCGTGCATACCAATCTAGACATTGATATTCCCCCCTCCCTCACTCATTGATCATTTATTTACTACTCCTTTCCCTCTCTTTGACTTTTGGTCTTAAAAGTTCCCCTTTCCTTTAAGTCTCTGGGATTCCGTATTTTGTACATGTAAATATGTATTTGTATTTATATGCAATTTCTACTTTTAGGGTTTTTGGAGGTGTTGTGGTGTGTTGTGTGTGGGGTGTGAGGTGTGAGGTGTGAGATGTGATATTGGGAAATACATCTCTTGTGAATTTAATCTGAATGTATGTAGCTGGATCTGATGGGATGGGGTGTCTGGAATGGGTGTTTGAGTGCTTGAGTGTTGGATATTGATTCCTAGATGCGCATGCACTGGATGTGGTTATGGGAAATGGGAAATGGGAAATGGGATATCATTCGACTCATTGAGAGAGGAGAAAGATATTAATATCAATATAGATTCGTCATCGGACGGGACTTTATAATGTGTAAGTTAAAAGACTTCTCTCCATTTTTTGGATATTGATGATGAGAAATTTTATAAAAGCTTATCTTAGCTTAGTTTGGTTTGAAAGCTGTGATTTTGGCTTTATTCTGATTTTGAGTAGCTTGGTGTAGTAGTGATTGATGCTAGGGAGCGGATTGGGGTTTGTGGAAAATAGGGGAAGAGAGTGGAGAGAGTGGAGTGAAGTGAAGTGATGAGGGGAGGAGAGGAGAAGTTATGCTGGGTATGTGTTTTTGTTTGTGATTGTGGGTGCTAGTGATATATGTAGGTTTTAGATATGGAATGAGAATGGAAAAGCATAGGATGTTAGGAGAAGTTGGGATATTGTGGGATAGTATGGGATTGTTAAGGGTGATAAAGAAAATGGAGATGGAGATGGAGATGGAGATGGAATGCGGGAAAGTTTGAATATAACTAAAGGGGCTTTTAGATAGTTGGGTTTAGGGACTTCGAGTGTATTAATGACGGGTTGAGAGAGGAGTGGGAAAAAGGCTTGGAAGGAGAGACTTGGAATAGTGATAGATGGAGAAATGAGAGAATACGCATTCGTGGCGGCGCGAGATACTGGTCTGTTGATTTTGATTCCGGAGCTCTGAAATTCTGAATAGATTCTTTGAGGTGATGTTTCAGGGGATTGGAGCAACTATCCTCGGCTAGGTTGGTGGAATGCATCTGAGGTACACGCAAGATGGGATACGCGCAAGATGAGGTACACGCAAGATGAGGTACGCGCAAGATGAGGTCTGATATGAGGTGATTACCTAAAAGGGTTTGAATGTTTAAATGATTGGAAACGGCACATGCTGAAATAGCTTGAATATCCAAGAGCATCCGAATGCATGTAAGGTGAACAACAAGACACAGGCATATTACAGTACCTTGTTTTCTGGAAAAAACATCAAGGTAATATTATCTCCGTATTTGTAATACAGATAGATATTGGTCAAAGTGCTTTTTAATATTTTAGAAAAGAATCTTTATAGTGTTCTTGTGACACTTTCATGGCTTGTTGGAGCTTGAAGTGGACAAGTCTGAGTATACAGAAAACTGAAATGCGTTTAAACTTCCATGTTTCTAATTTGTATGTAGTGAATTGCCTTTGAAATTTGATTAGCAGTGGATGGCATTTGAGAGGATTAACGTCATCTGAAACAGAATGATACCTGAAAGTAAAGTAAAGTTTTTGATAAATATACTTCCGGAGAGTGCATATTGAATATCAGAAGAATGTGAATTATTTTAAGGGTATGAGAATAGTGGATATATGTTCACCGGCCTATTTGATAAGGATCTGCCCTTGTGCCTGTCTAGCAGACTAACCTTGACAGAGTATATGTAGAGTATATGTATGTTTGGTGGGCGTGCGAATTAAATTGATTGTTTTGTATTAGTAGTAGCTATATATAGTAGCTTGAGATGGGATGAACATCTGAACAGCCCAGGACCGGCATGGCTTTTAACTCCGAATATCTCCCTCCTACATCTAAACTTCCGTGATCCAAGTCCATGAAGAAAAAGCTAAAACGCCTGACTATGAAATTCCTTACGGCTTCTCACTACTCTTGTAGTTGTAATCTAGATAGCCCTCCCTGCGCCAAGATGATTCACCCGGCTAGTCAGGGTTCCTGGTACCGGGGCTTGGAAACTCTATATATATGAATGTGACTTTGGTGGCAATACCGACAAGGAAGAAGGAAATGATGTTTGGGAATTTCCCCTCAGATATATCAGAAGGACCATCTAATATATACCATTTGGAAGCAGACTTTCACGCTCCTTCAAAAAAAGCAACTCAAACTCAAAGTCTTGTTTGGCTAATATCGTAAGATTTGCCCCTTTAGTTGATGAAATAGACAAATTTATTGCAAATGTTTGATATTCTCAATATCTGAGTGGATTCGAATGTCCATATTTTTGATTGCCCAATGGCCCCGGACACCAAGTAGCATGGATTTGCAGTTCATGTCTTGGAGTTAAAAAGCTGATAGAGGCAAGTGTGAGCCGATAAAGAGTCGACAACCACGTGGCCTTGTTGATATTGCACTGGTGGGAACAGGACTTAATTATTAAGGATATGGCGAAAGACGGAAAGGATCAATAATCGCCAAGTTTTTATTGATGACAGTGTTTTGCACTGTCTTCTAGAAGTAAATCCACTTGGATGGACTTTTGGAAACGGAGCTGATGCCCTAAAATGGAACTCTCCGGCGGTATCTCATGGCTGCTCTGCTTATCTTCACGATGGGATTTTCAACAAGAAAAGAATTGACCATGAAGAACCATAAAAAACTGCAGGGCAATTTTGGTGGGGTTCCGAATCAAACTTCCGAGACTCGACCAAAACACCATGTGGCTAGACAAAGCAAGGGCCAACCTCGCAGAGAAGTATGATGGCTGTGAACAGTCTCCCATCCTTGAGCATAGAGATGGGAGCTGCTTATGATGAAATATCATCAATGTCGAAGATAGTATTGATAGACGACAGCGGACCGGTCATAGATTTAGACTACAAACGAGATATCTAGCTCACCGAGGACAGCCTCTGAGTGCGGCGGCCAGTCACAGACTTTCAATCGACACCGGTTCTTTGATATTGAGAATTTCACAGAAATGTGGAATCGAATGTCACTAACGCGGTGAGTGAACGGAATCACGCGATCCTGCTATCAGGTTCGGACGAATTGACGCTCATGCCAAAACAAGAGCATCCATCAAATGTGCATGATGCGATTGAACCTGCATTTTCAATGAACTCCGTGCGTACGTAAACACATAGTGGATATGGACAACTCGGACTGAATCCATGTAGGTGGGTTTTACAACGGGAGATGCCCAAATTCAGTAGAAATCCATAAAATCTATAGTTTCGTGTCTTTTATTGGGTACAAACTGTTTATCTATCATCCTTCACCGGCCGGATCTTGAATGTGGGTGTCGGGAACTTGTGGGACGAAGGTTGGAAGACTTCGGAAAGAGCCGTCGTAGAACTTTTCTACTTCTCTTCACAAGGCTCCAAGCCGGAGAACTCCCAGACTTTTTATTGTCCTTGACCAGTTCGCATCATCTGGACCCTCATTTTTGAGCATATTGTTACAATTTAACTTTTGTTTTACAGCGAATGTAAAGAATACCTTGGCAAACCGATTGTTGCAAGCTCTGGCGGTGAGACAATGATGCACTACCACATAGAACGATGAAGCAAGTCATCCCATTGCAACGCCAGGTGCATAGTTCAATATGTGTGCTGCAGGGGAAGAAGACGAACAGTCGTTAGCAAGATATATCAGCTTCTTATTCGCGGGGCTTAGCTCCACCTTGCAAAGCTGCTAGTGGGTTCCCATGCAATGGGAGATGCATCAGGGTCCTGTCCCAGAAATAGGGAATTGCTCCGATATCCTCTAGTAAGGCTTGCAGCTACAAGCATCAGGGGCCCTTTCACACAACGGTGTCGCGGTGACACATCTCCACCCTCCGATCCCATCCATCAAGCTCGGAAAAACTAACCCTTGACTTCAAGTCTAGTCATGCCCAAGCTGCATATCAGAGAAAGCACTTGATTACTATTGTCTGCTTTAAACTATCTTTTTCATCTATCCAGGTAATCCATTACGGAAAAATACCCACCACCTTTTCGTCGGTGCAGTGACATCTCCATCGAATTTCTGCACCAATCACAGATAGCATAACTTGAAGTATATAAGTATCTATATCGAGGATTTCTCTTGACATCCAAACTTCATCAAACAACAATTGCTTCCTTTACATACTCGACGATCATGTATTCGCTCATCCCGATCCTTTCCTTGGCCGCCACCCTTCTAGGGGGAGTCTCTGCCGCTCCAGTCTTAGAGGCACGAGCAGCCGCCAGAACTTCTGCGCCATCCGGTGCTGTCGTAGTCGACAAGACTGGTGCTACACCAGGATCATACACCACCTTTCAGCAAGGTGTAAATGCTCTCTCTACCACCACCACAGCCAATCAATATCTCTTCATCTACCCCGGCGTTTACACTGAACAAGTCTACGTCCCACTCCTTCAATCCAACCTCACAATCCAGGGTTATACCGAAGATGCAACCACATATGCTGGTAACCAAGTCACTCTTACCTACAACCTTGCTCTCCTAAATACTATCAACGATGATATGACAGCTACTTTACGTCAATGGAACACCAACACCAAAGTCTACAACCTCATCATCCAAAACACATTCGGTCACGTCAACTCAAATGGTCAAAACCTCGCTATTTCTGCACGTAAGATAACTGATTTACTATTCTCTAACCTACATTATGGAATAGGTTCTTTGCTAGGATTCATCTCCTATGTACCTCACTTTCAGACACAATTACTAACCTCCCTTGTTCATAGACACCACAAACCAAGGATACTATGCTACTCAATTCATTGGATATCAAGATACCATCTTAGCCAACACCGGTACTCAACTCTATGCCAAATGTCTTGTCGTCGGTGCCATCGATTTCATTTTCGGACAAACAGCTCAAGCCTGGTTCGAGAACAACGATATCCGTACTATTGCCGCTGGAAGTATCACAGCTTCCGGACGTTCCTCCGACACTAACCCATCTTGGTATGTGATTAACAACTCGAATGTGGACAACATCAATTCTACCGTCGCTACAAACAACAACTACTTGGGACGCCCATGGTCCGACTATGCAAGAGTCGTTTTCCAAAACACCTACTTGGGAAGTAACATTAAGGCTGCTGGATGGAGTACTTGGTCTACTAGCACCCCAAACACTGATCACGTTGTTTTTGAGGAGTAAGTTCTCATCTCCATCTTTCCGATTTTTTTCATTGGAGATCTTCTCATTTACCGCCCCAATCCTGTCATCATCTTGATCATTCGTCCATTCTCCCATTTTCTATCCTACAAGAAATACACTAACCACCTTCCAGATACAACAACTCAGGACCCGGTGCCGCTGGACCCCGAGCAAGCTTCAGTTCTTCCATCACTTCACCCATTGCCATCGAAACAGTATTGGGAAGCAGATACTTGAACGAATGGTGGGTCGATGCCAGTTACTTGTAGAGGGATAGGGATGAATGGATGGATGAAGGGGAGAATCCAAAATACATAATGTTGAGATCTGGGATTAGTTAATGAAGTGAGAGTGAGAATCCGCAGATATAATGTTGGGGTTAGGGCGCGAAGAAGTTTAGTTAATGAATTAATGATTAGTTATTCACTTTTGTTTCATTTTTCTGCTTATGATCATGTGGTATGAGATTGTTGATATTTATTTTCTTCGTGAAAATCAGATCGAATGGTAGTTTAGGAGTATTCGTAACCATAGACAATTACCGTCCTAGGAAGTTGCCATTGACATTGTACCCCAACCCAAAACTTTCAAAAGTCCAGTCTTCGAATCTCGAATAATCTTGCATCTAATATTCTGTTAAATAGCCATGAACTCATCTCATTCACACATATACCGGTATACATACCTACCTACATACACAACAGCGTCCCCATCCCCACCCAGAAAAACAAGTAAGCTACCCGAGCTCTTACGCACATCTAAACAGCCTAATCTAATCTAATTTATAAATATATATATCACCAACCGATAATTGAATAATTAAACAACCCCGCAATCTAACTCTCCTCTACTCACTCACTCTACCCCTCACACTTCAATAAAAGTCCTCCAATAGCATAAACCCCCTCCTACCCCTCATACTTCTTTCCCCACCCTGCACCACACACTACGCGGATCACTCATGCAACAATATAATTATAAACTCCATAGCGCTCCACAACAAACAAACAAAGACCTTACAGTCTACAACATCCGAATTAGTGTAGGGGTTAACATAACTCGCTTTCAATGCTCTTCTGTTCATCAGTTGAGTACCAGGAACCGAGTAGCCCCGGGTTCGATTCCCGGATTCGGAAATATCTTCTTTTTGTGTTTTTTTTACTTTTCGATTTGGGGAATGTACGTTTTTGGGTTTATTTTCGATTTGGATTGGGGGTTGAGATGTTTTTTCCCGGCGGGGATTTGGTGGGTGGCGAGGTGTGTATGTGTGTTAGCCGGAATTAAGCCGAAGTGCTACACCAAAAACATAGTGACCACTCACGCAGGACCTTGCAATATCAATCATCCACCAATCCATCCATCAAAAAACCAATCATTTCAACAATTCCTCATTTTTGATATCTATCTACCTAGGTACCCACTGAGTATGATCTATTTCCTCACAAGTTACAACCAACCTTATACACATTCTACATACATACATTTTTCCCAATCAATTCCCTCACCTCGCCTCATCCACCCCACAACTCAACTCTCACCAAACCTCCACTCACTCAACCACGATCCCCCAAAAAGTCTACAAGCAAATAAATCCACAATACGATACACTGCTAACAAACGCTCCGCTACGCTAGGACCCAGAAGAGAAGAGAAAAAAGAAAACCAGCGAGTATATACTAACTAAATCATGTATTTCCATTTTAAAACCACAACCACAACCAAAAACAAAAAAACAAAAACAAACCACCCCCAGGAGAGAAAAAGTACCAACGATGGAAAGAAAAGTACGCCTTACGCCTCCCGTGTTTGACCATCACGTCTTTTGTTCTTTTATTCTAGGTAAATTGGGGATTTGGAGACCATACCGCGCCATGCTGTTCTATGTATGGAGTGGGTTATCATGATATATAATCAATTCTATACCTCGCTGTGTGATTTGCTTTGCTTTGCTTTACTTTGCTAGAGTTATATTATCGTTCGCGTTGGACTAATGTCCATTCATACTATTAGTATCATGATTAGTTTCAATCCACAATTAGGTAGACAAAGAGTAAAGACGAAAAGAAAAAAACTCACCACTCTCCCGTCTTCATCTCCAGTATAAACCCCCTTCTCCATCGGCACCACACAACTTATACCCGCTTCTACATTTCCATTCACCGTCGTAACTCTTCCATGCGCGCCTGTAGATCTATTGACACTAACATCCCTCCTTACTTCATCCACATGATCCAACCTCTTCACCAACTCCAACTCCCATTTCCCACTATTTTTACCCACAACTTTTCGCCATATACATACTATTCCCCTCTTATGACCCGTGAATATTAATGTTCTCTCCAGCCACTCATTTCCAGTACCTTCGTAGAATGCACAGCTATGTATATAATCATCATGTCCTAGATCTGCGCATACACTTTGCTCGAGAAGTGCTTCTCCGTTTAAGGTATAAAGAGCAACTTTTTGGCCGCGACATAACATAATATCCCCACTTACATCATTAATGCGCGCGCATTCTACAGGCCGACCATGAGTGAGTTTGCGGACGAATTCCAAGCGATTTAGATCCCAGAGAAGTACGAGGCCATCGGAAGATGCGCTAAGCATTGTACTGAAGGATTTACTGACTGCAAGAGTAGTGACTGGTGTTTTGTGTCCGAAGAGAGACGAGCGTGGTTGAAGATCAACATGTTTAGATGGTGAAGTCATGATTGTATGCGCGGAAATTACACAATCTTCACCAGCTGTGATGAGAGTTTGTGAGGATGCAAAAATGACGGTAGATAGTTGTCCTTGATGAAGGTTCTCAAAAAGACCAGCGAGCTTTTTGGAGTCGTTGAAGTAGAATCGGACGCTGTTGTCGGCGAAACCCCATTCTAAGTATTTATCATACGTTGGAGGAAGATTGAGGCGGAATGCTGTAGAGCAAAGAAGTCGATCTAACTTGGCCGAGTAAATGAGTGATGCGACACGTTCGTGACTTTCGATCAAGGGAAATGGTAGACGTGTTAGAAATTCAGCTGAAGTGTCAAGTCGTCTCGGTCTTTGACGCATATCTTCTCGAGATTGATGAGGTTTGGTAAAGACCTGATGAGGGGTTTGACCAAAGTTATGAATAATTCCAATCGTAGCTAGTCTTTCGATAGGATCTTCGATGGTATCAAGGTTCTTTGCACCATGATATGAAAGATGGTGGAATACGTTCACACTTTCAACAGCGGCTTCTCCGCGTTGCTTGCAACCAAAAATAAGATCAATCCACTGGTGTAGATACTTACTCACGTACGGGCTTTCTAAAGCCTCGCGATGTTTGGCAATGAATATTTTTGGATCGCCTTTAGCCCACGGCGGAAGGGCAACAGTATCTATACCTCCACCGTCCCCTTGTCGTAAGCCGAAATTGTACCCATTATTATTTGTAAGGAACTCTGGAAGGTAAAAGAATTCTGGTATGAGCTCCCTCACATCAGACATGTTATTTCTAGATGCAGAGTCCCAAGCTTTCGCAATCGAATAGAATAAACGATCAGGATGGTCGAAGTTACCACCTTGAAGTAGCAGGTATGATTGGACGAAAGGTTGAAGTCTGATCAAATATGATGTAACGATCATGGCTGACGAGTAATGGGTTCCATAATGAAAGGCAGGTGTAGTGTTGTCCATTTCCGCAAATGTTTTATATCTCTCAATGAAGTCTGCTTGACGTGAGTTGTGCTGCGCACCCATAGGTTTCGTGAGGTCTCGGAATGAAGCAGGATTGTTGAGATCCAGCTCTTCGCTCGTGTAATCGGCCAGAACCCAAGGGAAGACAGGATATTGTGTAAGATCGTTGAAAGTACGACCAGCCATTGTGTTGACGAGCATTAGATAGTGAAAATTCGAGATTTCCCCTTTTGCCCATCGTCGCATTGCTGGGTTCCAAGCAGAAGAATTGAAGATGTTACCAAATTTGGAACCAAAAGTAGCAGGTGCGTCATCCGATACTTTGAGAGCCTCAAGACGCCAACCATCTTCTGGATTTGGTAAAACGGAATTACCACTGGTATGTGGAGCCTTTGAGGAGAGCCTGGCAAAGAGATCATCCCTAAGCGTGGCCGAAATGGCTGTAAGTAGATAACTACGACCATCCGTGAAGAAGACTTCCACAGCAACATCTCGAAACAGAAAACGACGTTTAGAAATACTGATGACATCGCTCCACTTCCAACTTCTCGATTCTTGCTCAGTTCTGAGGGCTTGCGTTGTTTTCTCATTCGCCTTGTGACCAGCAATCATCTGTAGATAAGGATCCCTTTCCTCTTTGGGAGCCATCGCAACGTTCACGATTTCTCCGTCAGATCTTTGGAAGACATTATCAATCAAGTAGAGGGAATCTTTGCCTAGAATCAATAAGCCCTCAACTGCCTCGAGTCCAATGATTCGAGAAATATTAAAAACATGTTGCACCGAATCTCCTCTTTGAAGACTGCGCATGACCTTTCGATTTTTGTCCTCAAATCCATCATCACCATCGCCAGGGTCATTAGGATCATCAACAAGTTCAAAGTCTTCTTCTTGAACAACACTATCGTGTATTTCACCTGATTCTTCCTCTGATGGATTCTCAGTCTTCACCTCGGATCCATTTTGACTCTCAGGGTCTCCAGGTGGTGATACTGCAGAGCTGGACGTTGAATCAAGGTTCTGAGCCGGGGCGAGACCGCCAGTTTTCGTGTTTACCTGCAAAACATCGTTTGTATTTGTCTCCGTGGGACGTCTTTTCGGTTTGTAATCATAAGTCGGAGCAGCACGATCGGGCACCATACGAAGACGCATACGGTTACGACCCTCGGTCCGGTCCAATTTCCACTTTGAGGGAACACCACTATCAAAAACTGCACAAGGCCTATGAAGCTCTCGATCCATCCTGGAAAATGTAGAAACGAGAAAAGCAAAATTATCTTGTTGATCTTGTTGTGCTCTTTGGTGCTTTAAGATGTT